GCTGGTGCTGATAAAGACACTTGGTCTCACCGCAACGGCAGCAACGCCCTTATGCTCGCATCTGGCAAGGGTCACGCGGATGTTGTACGGTTGTTGCTTGAAGCTGGTGCTGATAATAAAGACACCTGGTCACACCACAACGGCAAGAACGCTCTGATGCTTGCATCTGGCAATGGTCACCTGGAGGTTGCACGATTGCTGCTCGAAGCGGGTGCTGACAAGGATTGCTGTGATAATGACGGCAAAACAGCACTGATGCTCGCAGCCGACAAGGGTCACCTGGAGATTGCACGTTTGCTGCTTGAAGCTGGTGCTGATAAAGACATCTGGTCACACCGCAATGGCAGGAACGCCTTGATGCTCGCATCTGCCAGTGGCCACCTGGAAGTTGCACGTTTGCTGCTTGAAGCGGGTGCTGACGATGATTGCTACGACTTTTACGGCATGAACGCGGCGATGAGCGCATCTCTGCGTGGTCGCTTGGAGGCTACACTTTTACAGCTTTCCTCGCGCCCGCGCGTAAAAGTTGCACGCTTCTATTGAAAACCGCATTCCTAAAATCGTGGAGCTTGACACCACGTGAGATATGGAAGGTGTGAGAAGTCTGCTAGAAGAGCGACATGACATTGCTGATGCTCGCAGCTGGCATTGGTCACTCCCTCGATTGCTGCGAGTCAAAGAGCGCTGACAAGGAGGGTGGGTGGCTTGAGCCCAGGTTCATTGTGCACAAGCTGCTGGTGCGGGTTTTCCGACATCAAGCCTTAGGGAACATAAGCAAGGATTGTAGTCATGACGGTAATGACGATAGTCGCAGACATGCAGGTAAGTGGCACCTTTGGGTGGGTAGTACGCGATCATCACCGATTACAAGCTGCAGACACTTCTGGTCAAGATGTTTGCAGCACAGCTGTTTCGAACTTCCGTAGATGCCGAGAACCCTGTTTCAGCAATATGCATTCCCCCAACCTCAAATTAGAAAGTGCCCCAATTCGCAAGGCGAAGCCTTGGAAAGCATGATGAAAGTTTGCAGAATTCCGTTAGGGTTTAGGGATCAGGTTTCAACCCATGAGGACCTCGTGTGTGTGCATGTATGCATGTAGGCTGTATGCGTGTATGTATATTATGTATATTTGTATGTGCTTTTGTGAATGTAAACGATGGACATGTAAATGTGTGTGAGTAGTGTCTGTATATGTCGGTGCAGGTGTAAGTGTGTAGGTACGTGTATGTGTACGAATATGTAGATATATGCATGCATGTGCATGCCTTTATAATATATATATATACATCGAGTACTCTGCAGCTGGTCTCGTCCAGCTGAGCAAGTGGACATCGGCAGAGTTGATGCAAAGCTTCGCTTACAGTGGGCCGTAGACTTCATCTTTAGCATGGAATTTGATGGTTCATGGGGAGTTCCTTTTTGGATGTTTATGATCCTTGTGTTGTGCCGAGGGGTCCTGCTGTGGAGCTTACGGATGCTGTCGCATGGCTGTGTGAAGCCTGAACCCTGGACCTGAGCTTACACTTTGGGGTTTAGGATTTAGGAGTTTCCGAAAATAGGGGACCCTAATATAGGCCCCTAAATAGTAGGATCCTTGTGAAAAGGATCCCAAAACAAGGTACCCCGATTTTCGGAAACTCCCATTTAGCTTTCAGCTTTTGAGGTATCGGAGTGTAGGGTTTAATGAGACTGCCAGTCTGAAGCCCCTCGCGCCAAATCCGTGGTCCGGTGGCCAGTGGCCGGGGTACTTGGTGGATTGTACTTTGATGTATATACCAGTAGTAGGGTAGGTAAGCTTTAACTTTTTGGGTAGCATAGTAGTCCTTATATTATCCCTTTAATGCCAAGAAGGTTAACCTTTAGGTCCCCATGATACCCGACAAGTAGGATATTCTCCAGAGCCGAACTCACTGCCCTTTCTCCGATGATCGTTCAGGCAGGCCATAAAACCTTCAACTCTGGGACCCCAAACCCCGAGCCCTCGCGCCCAAAACCCATGAACCCGAAAGGCGCAGACTCTGTTGGACAAAGGACCGCAACTCTCAAAGCCCTACCGCAGTGAAGCGACGAAGAAGGCTTTTGCCCTGAAGCCTAAAATTGCACTAATACAAGGATGAGGTTTTGGGGTGTATTATCTGCAACTATAATACATGTTGGGCAATTATCCAGGCTCCTACATTAAACACTTCCAAGACTCGGCAAGTAAGTGAAGGAGACGGCGGAGACCACAGAGGCCGCAGCAGAAGGGGACGCCGGGGGACTCAGCGCTTGTTAAGCGCCCTTTCGGGTCGCTCAGTGTGTGTATGTTTTCCCTAAACCATATTTAGGGTTTAGGGTTTAGGGTTGGGGGAGATGCGATATAGGGTTTGGGGGTATATTGAAGTATATACTTACCCCTAAACTAAACCCTGTTTTTATGCTACAACTATGCTAAGGAGGAATCCCCAAAGTTGTCTTGGTTTTTTTCTGCTTACAACCTCAAAATCCTACAGCCGTGAACCCTGGAAGGTTTACAGATGGGGTTTCCCGAGTGATAGCTCTGCGTGTAACCTGCTTGATCAGTACCCTGATCCTTGAAGTCCCTTCCGAAATTCGGGTAGAGAAGGGGGTCCAAGCTTCTGAAGTTTCGGTAGAGAAGGGGATCTAAGTTCAGACTAGATGGGGACATGGGCAATTAATGATGGCATTCCCTTATAGTCCGCATGACCTCTCTCAAAAACGGTTCAAAAACCACGGCTTGGATTTAGAGACCTGCGTCTCTACTTGTAATTCGCTTGCAGCCCCGACGTCTTGGGTTCACTAGCAGGATTTATCAGCACCCCGCAAAGCACCGCTTACTTTATTGGCTTACTTAAAGAACGATTATGGGACATAGCAACCTTATGTTTTTCTGTTAAGGTGCTTTGTTGGATCGCTAGTTTACCAGGCCAATGCCTCCGAATTTCGAAGAGCCAATGCTGACTCCCTGTATATATGTTAGGCTACTTGGAGATCATGGGACTGAGAAACAAGCGCTGTGACAACATGGTAACTATACCTTTATATCCTCTAGCTCTAATTGGGGTACCAAGACCCCTCCCTACTAGGTCCCATGATTCTCCAAGTACGCTCGAGCAGGTATCCTCAAGAGGTATGGAAAAACCAACACTGGGACCAAAAGAGACCCCAAGCCCTAAATTCGAGCCTGAACCCATACACCCCAACCTTTAAAGCGACCATACAGTAGAGAAACCCCTTGCCTTCCATAAAACCCATATAGAACCTGTGTTAAACTCTCATGTCGCCCATTTGTGCCTTTCAAGGACGATGCCGGCGACCCATCCGACACGACAACAGAAGAGTCGGCAGAGAGCCTTGCCAGCCAGCCCTTTACAGTCTGTGATTTGCTAGAAATCTTGGAAATGTGTAGGCCCCCATAGTCCGTAGATATTTCTACCATATATATATATATATATATACCCCAAGAGCCCGATTCTACATATGAAGTCTGTCGCATTAGGGGCATCGAGAGTTCTTGAGGCTATATGCCCTAAACCCTAAGACTCTAGATTATGTTTTGAGTTTGGGGTTCTACATATCCAGAGTCTGTAAAGGACTTCTGTCGATTTTGAGGTTGTGCTTGCGGTGTCAGAGTTCAGTGTCCTTCTCTTATAAGATGGACTCTGTTGGTTAGAGTTCTATTAAAAGTAGGGGTCTTTCGTTTTCTGATGCTTACTGTTGACGGCTTTGGGTTGCATGATTGAGGGATTTGGGCCTTGGGATTCCGGAGAAAAAGATAGCTGGAAGGGATGAGAGGGGGGCTGCAAGATAGGGATCCCATAGTTCGTAAATTACATACTTTGTTATCTGGTGTTGCCTGATATGACTGTAGTATGGAAACCCCGATACTTGTCTGAGAGCTCAGTCTTCTACATTATGCATGTTGACGTTGAGGTTTCAGCAGCAGGTGTTCCTGCTGCTCTATACAAGCTAAGATTCTTCGGACAGGGTTGCTAAACACTTAAGACTTAAGCTTCCAGTGAGTCTATGTGACTTAGGCCCTCAGAACCCCCGACAAAGTCGTGATTTTCACACGCTCCATTACCTATAGTCTCCTTAGGGTTTTTTATTTTGATACAGAGAATCAGAGAATATTAAAAATGTTATTGTTATTATGGTTCTAGGGGGGGTATAGTTACGGGTAGCTCAGGACTACCACCACGGAAGAGGAGGAGCGGGGCTCCTGGGAGCTTGCTTATTCCCTTTTTGTTGTCCTAGGTTCCTTATGAAGTTACCCGATACCAAAAAGGGAGCCCTTTTTATTCCTAGGTTACTGGGCATCCTAGGCAGTGACAGCAGAAGCGCAGAACCAAAGTGGTACTTAGGCAACTACAACCAAAGCATAGCAGGAGCAGTAGCAGAAGCAGTGGCAGCTGCAGCAGGAGTAGGAGTAGGAGTAGGAGTAAGAGGGGTCTTTGTAGTAGTCTCCGCATCGCCGTGCGAGCACCTGTACATGGTCCGTGAGCGTGCTGCCATGCACTGGTGCCTAGGATCGTCGAGGAGCTTACAACCTCATCGCAACACATCAATCCCGCAATGCCTCTTTGGACAATGCCTGTTTCTTTCGACTCAACTCTAGCGTATCATCGGCTGTTCCACGAGCTCCATATAACCCATTATGCATAGCCCTTGTTTAGAATGACGAGCTTTGGTCTACAATGGAAAGCAGCGTTAGAACAACGAGCCCAAAAGAATGGCCTTGTTAGTCACTTAGGGCCTTAGGGCTCCTGTACGACTGTGTTTCGGGGCATAGTATAATGCAGTGTAGTCATAGTGGGAACCTCGGTTCGTCACTTGGGCTCCTGTATTCTTCTGAAGCCCAAGTGGCAAGCGCCAAACCCTAAGCTCTAAACCCTAAACCCCTAAACCCTAAACTCTAAACTCCTAAAACCCCTAAACCCCTAAAACCCTGCCGTAAACCCCTAACCCCCTGAATACCCTAAACTCGCAGGAGCCCCAGACTACTCAGCCAGCCACGACCACTTCCGCTCGGACCGAGCGTTTGGCGTTTTGGATCTCGCATGGGCTTGGGGATTTTGAGACTTCGTTTGTGCTGCGATGGAAAGATAAAGATATGCCTATATATATATATATATATATATTTATATTTATATAGATAATATAATATATATATATATATATATTTATATTTATATTTATTTATATTTATTTATATTTATTTATATGTGTGTGTTTGTATTTATATACATGTATGTATGTCTATATGTATATGCGTATATATACGTACATGTATCAACAAGCATATATGTATAATCTGTATACATATGGTTAATCTATATACAACCTCTATATACACCGAATCCCGGAGTGCAGGTCTTAAAGCTTAACCCTAAAGCCCATATGCAGTTCCCTTACTGTTTAGGCTGCACTATGTCCCGGTCATGGTGCGACACATGTGTCAACGGACAGAGGCCGCCTCCACGCACACCATATAGTCAGACACATTGTGTGTGTATGTATGTGTATCCTTGTGTGTGTGTGCGTGTGTGTGTGCGCATGTGTAGGTATGCATGTGTGTATGTATGATTATGTATGTATGTGGGTATGTACGTATGTGTTTACATGGGTACGCATATGTATGACTATACTTACATGTATGTATACGTATTTACGCTTTTTGAGATGGGCTGTGTTTCAATCCAGGGCTATAGTAGCAATAACCCTTTCAGCCAGGGGTACCTATTTCGGGTCCTTGTTGTAAAGGTCCTGTCAATGGCATGTTCCATGTTGTGCTCCCTCATCTTGTTACATTCCCATATTCCTGCAAGCCAAGCCTACTGTGTGAACAGACGGCCCTGCAGGAACACGACAACTTCAACAACTCGCGCCGGCTCCAATACAACGACGAAAGCCTCCACGACATCAAGCACAAAGACCAGCAGCTCCACCACCAAAAAGACGACCACAAGCACCACCACGAAGAGCACCACAACCAACCCCAACATCACCACAATCGAGACCACCACCCAGAACAACACCAGCAAGAGCACCACCAGCAAGAGCACCACGACAACCACGAGCCGAAAGACCACGACCACCAAGAAGACGACGACCCACCGAACGACCACCAGCAAGAAGTCCACCACGCACGCAAGCACGACCTCAACAACCACCCGCCATATGCAGGCGCCGTTTCCTGCAATCCACTTTCTAGGATATGCTGCCCCACAAGGTCCCCCTCCCTTCACCCCGAAAGACCCAAAGCCGCAAGCAGCACAAGTGCATCCGCAAATTCGGTTTCGGAAGTCTTCAATCCTGAGCGCCCATCTATCTTCAAAAGCCTCGAAGCTACCAAAAACCACGTTTTTCCTTAAAGCCTCAAGCCTAAACCCTTGCCCCAAGAACTCTACAGGCTCGAAAGCCCGAAACCTGAGAGATGCAAGTACACTAAACGCTTCACCCCTCGCCTTGAATTTCTTCACTCCGGGGCTGGGTAGGTAACCTTTACACCCTGTTGGGTGCCTACATAAAAACCCTACCAGAATCGAAAGGCTAGCCTCTGTTTTGAGCTAGGATGCTCAGCCCATCAGCCCAAATTAACCCTTAAAGCCCTGAGTACCGTGCGTCCAAGAGGCGGTTCAGCTGCCCACGGCCGCGCCTGCAGCGTCCGCTGTGCCTGTGGTGACCACCACCTCGGGACCCAGCTTCTTCTACTTGCAGGCCGGCGATTGTCGGCTTAAGATTTACAGGGTTGTAGGTTGCTTCCATCTCGCACTGTATATATAATTATGTATACGTATTCTACTGGGAATATATATATATATATATATATATATACATACACATCTATATATATATATATATATATACAAATATGTGTACATAATATATATATATATATATACATATATTATGTACACATATTTGTATATATATATATATATACAAATATGTGTACATAATATATATATATATATATATATGTATATGTATACACATACATACATATGTACATATATTATATATTATCGTGTGTGTATATAGAGGTAATATATTATATGTATGTCTATACGTATTCGTATTCTATGGGGGGAAAAGCATAAGAACCTCCCTCCGCAGGCGCTGGAGGTCGCCGAGGCCGCTGCCCGCAGCGCGGCCGCAGCCGGACTCCCCGCCGTGGAGCGCGCGGCCCGGGCCGGGGAGGCGCGTGGCGGGTTTACTTACCTTTGGTTAGTATAGAATGGAAGAATGGTACTAATAGTAGTTATACTTGTACCCCGTTCCTCCATTCCCTACTAACCCAAGGTAAGTTTAGTGTTTGGAGTTTAGGGGTTTTGGGTTTAGGGGTTCAGGGTTTAGGGTTTGAGGATTAGGAGGTTTGAGTCTAGGTTTAGGGTTTCGGGTTTGGACTTTAGGGTTCGGGTTTTAGGTTCAGAGTTTTATTACTTGGCTGTTTCAGCGGGGGCCAGAAGGCATCGACAAGGCAAGGTCTGAGTTTTTGGGGAAAAGGGTCGAAACCCTAAAGCCTAGGCCCGATACGCTACTTAGTAATAAGGTTCCACCGGCCACCCTCTAGAGAATGATGGTGGGGTTTCTCGAGGCTGGAATTGAAACCTAGGCCCTAAGGCCCATGTCGTAAAGATAGGTGGAAAATCTAAGCCTCAAACCTTAAACCTTGAACCTGAAGTCAGAGTGAATCTTAATGATGCCATGCTGGGCATTCGAGACCACCCACTTGGGACCTAACATCGCAAGCTCATATATATATATATATATATGAGAGAGAGAGAGAGAAAGAGAATCGAATCAGACAGAAAAACAGTTGAAATCATCGTACGGGTAACAATAGCTGAAATAGTAGTAGCAATAGCAGTTTCCAACAAGCACAATAAATAGACAAAGCACACATATGGGTAGTTGTCAAAATTATGGTCCCTTTTCCGGTACCCTAAATATTAGGTGCCGTATTATGTTAAGGACCCAAAGGGGACCTTAATTTTGACAACCACCCATATACGGCGGAGTCATTGAAAGCAGGCTCCTGAAGATGAAGATGCTTGTTTGTCTTCAGGCCGCCTTCGACAGCGCTCAGTCTTCAGCGTTGGAAGATGTGGAGGTGAGAAGAGTAGGGGAAAAGTCAAGAAGGGCTTCGGGTATAGAGGGATTAAGGCTTATTAGTAAGTGTTAACTAAGAGTCTGGTTTGGGCTTTAATGGAAGGATTTAAGGGTTTGAGGGGTTGTGGTTTTGCGTTTAAGTATTTACAAGTTTGAGGGTTTAGGGTTCAAAGCTTCAGGGATTTCGGGCTCAAGGAACCTCAAGATTAAGGGTGCCACAGCATCCAATATCAGGAACACAACAAGCTTCACTCTGATATACGGACGCCTTATGCCAGACATTCAGTCGCAGTAGTAGAGTGGGCAACCTTTAAGCTTTCGGGCACCATCATCCCCACAAAATCCCTAAGGTTCACCTTTAGTTCCCGTTAGATACTGGACAAGTAAGGTCAAGCTAAGGGAAGTTACCCTAAAACCCTAAACCCTAAACCGCTGTAGGACCAAAGGAGGGTGAGAAGGAGAGTCAGGTCAAGGAGGTTGGCAAAGAATCTCGCAGCAGAGCCCCACGCAAACCAACCAGACCCCTTGGGGAATTCAATAGAGCCATTGATACATTACACTGCCTTACTGCATATAACTGTAGCATGCCTTTTGGGGATTCCATAGCTATCTCACCCATTGTCGCACATTGCTAAGGTCTCTTTCATACTCTTATGGGTGGTCATTAGAGGTTTGAGTCTTGTTAAAGCCCTTTGACAGCCTTACAACAGAGCCCCCTTACAAGCCCCTGCAAGCCATGTATACAACCCCACCGGTTCTAAACCCTATACCCTAAACCCTGCTTCCTATACCCTAAACGATGTACCAACCCCGAACCCCTAAACCCTAAATCCCCCCTTCTGAGCCCCTTTTTTCAGCAACTGCCCTTCCCGCGCCCTCCAGTGCGTCAAAGCTGCGGGCGCTGCCGCAGCCGCAGCGGGTCGCGCTGCCGGAGTGGCAGCCGAGGAGCAGGCGACAAACGCCTCCCCTTTTGCTGGGTTCTTTCTACGGGATTTAACTTAAGTTACCATAATAGGGATCTACAGTAAATAACAGGGATTTCAGATTATGGTACCTCAAGTTAAACTCCTTAACAAGAACCCTTTTTTGGGGGTGGGCTTCCTTTTAGGGGTTGGTTTTGGGTTCCTTTAGGGGTTCCTTTCAGACAGTCTTCGGGCTTCATGTTTTGATTCTATTTCGTATCATAATGTGTGTGTTTTTGGTGGGATGTTTTTAGCGTTTTGTGGTCTGTGTTTCGGGACGCACTTGGTTCAAAATTCTGGGGGCTGGGTACCAGGGAGTCTCAGAGATTAAGTTGGTGATGACGAGCCAACGCCACAGGAGGATGGTGGTGGTCATGAGTAGTGATGCTTTAGTCTACAGCTCTTTTCAATATTGGCGCTTTACTTGGCTTGCGACAGACCAAGATTCCTAAACTCTCCAGACCCAAGCTCCTGAACTTCAAACCCTCAACTCCCCGACTCTGAAACCTGAAATCCTAAACCCTCAACTCCCAGACACTGAAACCCTAAACCCTAAGCCTTCAACTCCCAGACAGTGAAACCCTAAACCCTCAACTGACAGACACTGAAACTCTGAAACCCTGACCTTGCTCCAGAAGCCTGGAGGATCAGGGGACTGACTAAGTAAGGTTATAAGTACCCTAATTGGGGTTAGAAGTAATGATAAGTATAGTTACCTTATTTATAGCCCTAGTTACTAATTCGCATGATCCTTCAAGTGCCCTAAACCCTAAACCCTTATAGTACCCCTATAGACCCCTGAAAGGGACCCTAAACCCTAAGTACTAAGTCCCATGATCCTTCAAGTAGACCCTAAACCCTAAACCCCATAGATACCTTAAAGGAACCCTTATAGATCCCTTTTAAGGAACCCTAGTTACTAAGTCCCATGATCCTTCAAGTGATCTCTTCTTTGAGGTGCGGATGGCAGTACTGGCAGCCGAAGCGGCTGCCCAGAAGGCCGGCAACAACAGCAATACTCTAGGGGCCTGGATTCATAGGGTTCCTTTAAAGGGATCTATAAGGGATCTATATCCTTAAAGGGCTCCTTTATGGGATCCTTTAGGGTTTAGGGTTTAGGGATCTATAAGGGGAAGTAGCCCCGGGAGGATTATAATAGGGGCCTTAATAGGGTTCCTTTAAAAGGGGTCTATCAGGGCTACTAGAAGGGATCTATAAGGGTACAATAGTATAGGGGCCTCAAAAATTCAACAGCGATAGCTATAAGGGGTATTATGGAATTCTAGTCAGCGGAGTAGGGTTCCCTTTCAAAGGGGTCTATCAGGGCTACTATAAGGGGTATCGTGGGGGTTTAGTACAGGAGCCTCAATAATTACCTATACTATTTTGGTGGTTCCTTATTATAGTTATAGCATGACATACCCCAAAACCTATTCGAATTATTATGGCCCCTATATCACACAGAGCCGCCCAGTAAGACGAAGTGCGAACTCGGCGCCATTTATTCTAAGACAGGGAGGGTTTGAAATTCAAGGCCAGGGATTTGTCCAGAGTTTCTTGACTTCAACACAACAGCAAGAAACAGAACGGCAGCAATAAGACTCCTCGCAGATTCACGGCCTTGCTGAGCATGCAGATACGGCGACCACAATTTCGTCTAAAGCCATGTCTGGCTATTTCCGTGCGAAGACCCAAGCTGCATCGGAAGCACCGAAAACTCAAACTGTAAACGTCTAAACCTCTGAGTCCCTATACCATATATATATATATATATACCCTAAACCATATGCATATGTGTATATATATAAGCCCTATACCATATATATATATATATATATATATACACCCTAAACCCCCGAAGCCCTGAACCGAAGAGCTATTCGCGCCTCTGCTCGAAAACCCTGCATCTTCATGTGCTGATTACGAAAGCGGCAGCACGAGGAGGAGGAGTAGCACTAGGAGTACGAATAGGAGGACGGGTAGGAATAGGAGAAGAAGAGGAAGGTGGAGGAGGATTGGGAGTAGCATTAGGTGTGGGAGGAGGAGTAGGAGCAGCAGTAGCTAAGACTCTACTGCGAGTGCAGAAAGATGGTGACCATAATGTACCAATCTTATTTCTTAGGGTTGCTTAGTATAATGATGTCATATTCTGCCCGGAAGACCCCATTCTAATTATTAAGGACCCTATACAGAACCCTTATAGTACCCTTATGGTATCCCCTGAAGGATCCCTTTAAAAGGAACCCTAGTCTAATCATTAAGTCCGTTACATTATCGACCAGGCCGGCCTACTCCCCGACAAGGAGGCGACGGCAGCAGCCAAGGCCGGGATAGGAACGCCGTGCGTAGCAGAGTTTCAGGGTCTCGGAACGGTTTAGGGTTTAGGGTTTAGGGTCAATCGGTTCATATAGACGCCTGAATCATAAGCAGCATACTAGTCCTTAGGGGTTCCCTATATATATTAGAGATGTAGTACAACAAGGACAACTATTTGTAATGTTTTTGTAGCCCCTATGAAGCTGCCGTATATCCGTGCCTCCTAAGTCCCATAGTACCTCTTCCTCATAAGCCCTAAACCCTTACGTTACCCCTAAAGCTCCTAAGCCCTAAACCCTGAGAGTAGTCCTTCTAAAGTGCCCCTGC